TGTAAACATGAATTTATAAAAGGGAGCGTGGAGCATAGGCGTGGAGTTTTTAATCAGCCCTAAACCATAGTCACATGAACTTGAATTTGATATGTATATGGGAGGTGTTTAGAGTAAAGTATATATAAATATCTTTGTAAAAAGGGAATAAATATATATTCATCTATTATACCACTTGGATATTTAAAACTGTGTTTTCATTTAAACTTACAGTCTTTAGACCATTTCGAAGTGGAAAGGTTAAATCGTTTTTTTTGATCCCGCGATGCTGTTAATCAAAAAATGTTCATTCATAATGAATAAAACACCTTCCGAAATAAATATTCACCGGAAAAGTACAGCTATACTAAAACAGCTCAGCGAATAGGCAGCTAAACGGAATGTACCATAGTAGATTAATTTTCATTTGAAAATTCTATCGTTAACAAGATTTGTAGTACGAAAAATAATGACAAATATAAAGTAGTTGAAGCACGATAAAGCTAAAAGTTTGGTTCATAAGGATGCATTAATTTAAAGAGAAAGAAAATAGTTTGTCTCCTTTAATTTTTGCTGAACTGAATATTTGTACTACTGTTTTATATTTTCATTTGTATACCCCGAACGACGTCGGGTGCTCTGCTAGTTTAATATATATTTCTTTCCAAAGCGACATTTTAATGCATTGGTGAAGTGCACTATCATCCTTGTCTTAAATTAACTGCAGTTAATCTTCTTTGGACAAGTAAGTGGTATTGGTGGAATATGAACTGGTGGCCAAAGCAGCTTCCTGGCTTTGATGCAAAATTTCGATTGGCGATGACGAAATTTATGGGATTTTAATTAAAGGTATACCGTTTTCAATGTGACCTTAAACACTGAACATGTACATGTGACTGGACGCACTTTTGCGGGTATACAAAACTCGGACATAGTTTTCATGACATATGCATCGTTGGAAGTGTTTGGGTTTGTTTGAGTTGCAATTAAATCGATTTTTGATTTTAAAACCATTTTAATCGCTTAACATTTTTGTGCAAATTTCGCAACTTTTGAAATCATTTATATGTAAGCAGTGAAAAGGTCCTCACATTTTGCAAAGTTTCAAGAAAACTGCATTTTCGTTAACTACTATAAATGATTTCCAAGTGCTTATATATATCAAAAGAAAGGTAAATCGATTTACCTTTCTTTTGATTATAATACCGTTGAAATCACTTAACATTTGTATGCAAATTTCGCGACTTTTGAAATCATGTATATGTAAGCAGTGAGGGGAAAAGTCCTTAAAATTTGCAGTTGTAAGAAAACTGCAATTTCGTAAACCACTATAAATGATTTCCAATTGTTAATATATATGAAAAGAAAGGTAAATCGATTAATATATTAATATTATTATATTTTAATATCTTTATACATACATCTGTTTAATATCACGTTTTGTAGAATGATTATGATGATGTTTTAGAGACGCTTGCCATAATTGATGATTAATAAAATAAAGTTTTATACTTGAAAAGGATTTTTTATTTCAAAGGATTTATGGGAAGAAAGGTAACCAAGAATTCGAATAACTATTACCCGATTATAACTTCTGGTCTAATACCTAAGACCGGTAACTAGGAGGTAACCAAGACGCTAACCTGGCTATAATTCTAGCTAACACCTAAATCCAACTTGGTAACAAAGGAATAACAACAGTTAAAACAGTTGCGAACAACATATGCAATATATATGTATGTAATAAACTTCGATCATTTGATCAGGAATCAAAGTAAGATCATTATTTATACGTTTTACTTAATTCTGAGTCAATCGCTTCCAGGCCATCTACGCTTTTGGTTATGTGCCTACGAACTTTTGTTGGTTTTATCATACATAATTAAAAGAAGCTCATTTTACTTTTGCAAAATTGATTGTAACAAATCACCCATCCGTATTATTCGTACAACTGGCAGCTCTACAATCAACGTAGTTTGCCCACTTCCTCTTTGACATTTCTTTGAGTGGCAGCACCACATTGTAATTTAATTCTCGTGAAATCATTTTTGTCGTGGATGTCAAGTTGAAGAGGCGCAAACTGCGGTGAGTTTATTTAACTTATATGTAATGATATTTGTTGTTTTAATGTAACGGTTCCTTTGTTCTAGAAATAAACGCACTTCCATCTTTTGGGTATATGAGAAAAGGCGTTCTATTTCTTTGCCTTCCCACTACTTTTACATCTTTATTTCGCAGTGCAGCATTATTTCGAAGCGAACTGGCATAATTCCTGCAAATTCTGCGCAGGATATTTAACGCTGCAATAAGTTAGATTATTTATATATAAACGTACCCTCTCAATGCCGTGAGAGATAGCGTCGTATAAGGAATGCTAAGGCGCAGCCCACGTTTGCAAGAAACATCCACGCCAGAGAGCTCAATCACCATGCAAAACATCCGCTACAGGGTCGTCTGCAACATCTACAGAACAGAATCCATCTCATGAGAAAAGTAGTGCCGTCAAAGGTACAGGTCAAGTCAGCGGCAGCACATCTGCAAAAACCGCCGCAGCCCCAAGTAAGGAACCTACACCCGCCAACCTCAGCGCCAATGCACGTGTCGCCGCAGCACAAGGTGCTCAACTTAAAAATGCCGTTATTTCGAATTCCTCTGCAAACGCCGCCGCAGAACCCAGTGCCTTAGCAAATAGTCCACACAATGTCATTACTGCACAACAGGTGAGTCATTTATTTAACAAAATGAAAGAGCTAGAAGAACAGCTTAGAAACACACAAGTCCACTTAGAAGATAGCAACAAGAAGCGCAAAGCCCTAGAAGACCGTTGTCTTATAAACAGTTTGTCGGCAGCGCCGCCGGCGTCAAGCGTAGCAGTAAGCAGCGCGACAGGTTATCTGTCAAGTAGCATGCAAAATGGCGCCATAGAGTTGCATAATGCTGCCCACGGTAATGTTCAGTCCACATCTTTTTCTAATGCCTCTGCCGCAAGCGCTCCGTCATTGTCGTCGCCACCTTCAGGCTCTATGCCTGCCTTCGCCAAAAATTTTCAAAATGGGCAGTCAGCCTACTTGCCTAATACGAGCATAAATTATGCCATGTCTCGTAAAATTCAAGACCTTCCAGAATTCAGCGGGCAACCTGAGGAGTGGCCACTATTTTTTAATGCCTTTACCCAGACTACCCAAGCATATTGCTATAGCAATCTAGAAAACAACCAGCGTATTTTAAAGAGCCTTAAAGGCGAGGCGAAAGAAGTGGTAAAATCCCTACTTATCCATCCAGATAATGTAAACCTGGTAATTGATCAATTAAAATCTCGTTTTGGTAGACCGGAATTGTTGATACGTAGTCAGCTGCGTCAAGTAAAAGATATTCCTCCAGTTTCTGAGTCCGCAATAGAAAAGCTCATTCCCTTTGCCACCAGAACAAGAAACCTTTCAATGTTTTTACAATGTATCAACGGTCCACAGTATCTGGCGAACCCTACGTTATTAGATGAATTGGTAAGCAAGCTTGTAAAGGGGAGCATAAAATTACCGCGTGTAACAAATTTCAACGATATAGCGTCAATGAGAGATGGCACGAAGTTAAGCGTAATCATTTGTGTTTCTCTTGCCTTCGATATGGTCATTCTACACGTGAATGTCGTACCAAAACGTTGTGTACGGTAAATGGTTGCCAACGCAAACACAACAGGATGTTGCATGATCAAAACCCCAACCAGCCCGACCAGCGGTGTTCTGTTCAGCCTGCCGAGCAGCAGGTGTAAACCCCAAACCGCAGTAATGAAAAGGAGCAAAGAATAAATTTGGTTCGTGAGTCTATACTCAGCTGTAAGCTGACAACCCCTGATGAAAGTAAGATATTGTTCCGTACTTTGCCCGTAACCCTGTATGGACCACGACAACGGGTAGATACATACGCTATGCTGGATGAGGGCTCATCCATAACGATGGTCGACAGCAGCTTAATTGAAAAGTTGGGTGTTAAGGGCCAGCAACATTTGTTAAACCTTCAATGGTTTGGTGGGAAAACTGCACAAGAGCCAACTTCAGTTGTAAATCTCCAGATAAGTGAAAGTGAATCAAAAAAGCTTCATAATTTAAGTAGGGTACATGCTGTGCCAAACTTAGACTTACCGATACAGAGTTTGAAAAGGTCTGATCTACGAGGTGCCACTGATAGTCTGCCAAAAGGGCTTACGTTTTTTTTTTCAAATATTAAGCCAAAAATACTTATCGGATTGGACCATTTCCATTTAGGGTTGCCATCGAAAACGATGCAGGTTTCAAAGCAAGGCCCATATTTAGCACACACAGAGCTGGGGTGGGTTGTATTTGACAACATGTTTGCAAGTCAGTAAAATATATGATCAAACCCTACATGATTTGGTAGAAGAATATTTCACGACTGAAAATTTTGGCGTACGGTCCACGCCAGCTGTAAAGAGTGATGCGGAAATTCGTGCTGAGAATATATTAAAGGCGACAATGTTACGAGTTGATGGCAGATTTCAAATAGGTCTTCTGTGGAAACATGATGAAATACGACTACCAGATAATTATAAAATGGCGGAACAGCGGTTTCTTGGCATTGAACGAAAATTTAAGAGGGATAACGTTTTCGCAGCAGCATACAAGTCAGTTATTCAGAGCTATTTGGAGAAAAACTACTGTCGTAAACTTACACAAGCTGAAGCTGCCATAAAGGGACCACGGGTATGGTATCTCCCTCACTTTGCGGTTAAAAATCCGAACAAGCCTGGGAAAATTCGTTTAGTTTTTGACGCTGTCCCAGCCTTCAACAACGTATCCTTAAACTCATTTTTGCTCAAAGGTCCACAAGATTACCAGCCTATGCCAACAGTGCTATACAATTTTCGCATTGGAGCCATCGGAGTGTGTGGTGATATAAAAGAAAAGTTTCACCAGATCTTAGTTAGACCAGAGGACAGATGCGCGCAGAGATTTTTATGGAGGAACAACCCCAACTGCGAATTAGAAGTCTACGAGATGCAAGTCATGACCTTTGGTGAGGCACGTTCTCCGTGCGCAGCCCAGTACATTAAGACTGTAAACGCAATGGGGTATAAAGAGAAATTTGCTCGAGCTGTAGAGGCCATTGTAAAGCATCATTACGTCGACGATTTCGTGGACAGCTTTCCGTCAGTGGAAAAAGCAATTGCCGTAACAACTCAGGTGCGCGAAATTCATAAAGCAGTTGGGTTTGATATGTGCGCATTCATTTCGAATTCGGATATTGTGGTTAAATCACTGCGAAACACGGCACAGCTAGAGGATGCAGCTGTAAGCCACCTTAAATCTCAAGATGCAACGGCAGAGAAGGTATTGGGAATGTATTGGAACCCGGAAGATGATACATTCCGCTACGAGTTGAAGTTCCACCGAGTTGATGCTGACGTAGTGAGTGGAAACAGGCCGCCGACGAAACGAGAGTTGTGCAGTTACATCATGTCTATTTTCGACCCCATGGGATTTTTGTGTCAGTTAACTGTCGGTGCGAAATTATTGTTGAGAGAGGTATGGCAGGGAGGAGTGACTTGGGATCAGCCATTACCGGAAGATATGTACGAGTGTTGGATAGTCTGGCAGAAAGAAGTTGAGAGCACAACAACTATTCGAGTTCCTCGATATTATTTTCACGAAGGGCCGCCTAAAGAGTTACAATTGCATGTATTTGTGGATGCAAGCGAGGAAGCATTCTCGGCGGTATGCTATTGGCGATACAAGGATGCCAGGGAGACCTTTAGAACTGCTTTAATCGGCGCAAAGACCAAATGCGCTCCAATAAAATGCATAACAATTCCGAGATTAGAGTTACAAGCCACCGTTTTAGGAGTACGCCTCTCTCAAATGATCTTGGAGGAACATAAACTTGTCTGCACACGCATTCTATGGAGCGACTCAACGACAGTAATTAGCTGGTTAAACTCGCAGCATCGCCGTTATAAACCGTTCGTCGCTCATCGTATCGCTGAAATTCTGGCGGTGACTCGGCCAGGGGACTGGAACTGGGTACCAACCAACGAAAATCTAGCCGATGAAGCCACTCGACGAAGTAAAAATTTAAACTTCAATTCCACATCGCGCTGGTTCAATGGTCCTGAGTTCCTATCGCTGGGGACAGACAGTTGGCCAAAGGCGCCTATAAAGGCAAATAATGACTTAGTATGCAGCGAAATCTTGCCAGCGAAAAGAGTCTTACTGGTTGACCGTATTAGTTTTATTGAGTTTGACAGATTTTCTTCCTATAACAAGTTGAAACGAACAGTAGCATGGATTTTAAGGTTTTTTGGCAGGACCCGTCCCAAATTCACCGATCAAAAGGAGTATGGTTTATCTGCAACTGAACTGGACGCTGCTGAAAAACTTCTGTGTCGTCAAATACAAGCTACTGAATTTTCAGTGGAAATCAAGCTATTGCGGGAGGGTCAACCGCTAGCTAAAGATAGTATATTATACACATTGTCTCCATTCATCGATAACGATCAAATACTACGAGTAAGTGGGCGTATACAAGCAGCCAGCTGGCTTCCATTTGACAGTTTACATCAAATAATTCTGCCAACGAGGCACAAATTAACACTGTTAATCGTGACGCATATCATATTCGGATGAAGCACCAATATATTGAGGCAACAATTGGTGAGATCAGCCAGAAATTTCGGATTCCACAGCTGAGGCGAGTGTTCAAAGGAGTTGTTACAAATTGTATGGTCTGCCGAATCTCCAAGGCAAAGCCTGTCGTACCCATCATGGGACGATTGCCGGAAGATCGCGTTACGCCGTATGTTAGANACAGAAATTTTGGATTCCACAGCTGAGGCGAGTGTTCAAAGGAGTTGTTACAAATTGTATGGTCTGCCGAATCTCCAAGGCAAAGCCTGTCGTACCCATCATGGGACGATTGCCGGAAGATCGCGTTACGCCGTATGTTAGACCATTTAGCTATACTGGCTTGGATTATTTTGGCCCAATAAATGTCATGATCGGACGACGAACGGAGAAACGATGGATCGCGCTCTTTACCTGTTTAACAGTTCGAGCCATACATCTTGAAATAGCCGCTGATTTGTCGACGGATGCTTGTATCCTGACCATCCGCAACTTTATCAACCGTCGCGGAGTGCCCGTACGTATACGCAGCGACAACGGTAGAAACTTTCTCAGCGTAAGCCAGGAGGCAAGGCGGTTTACTGAGGTGTTCGATTGCGAACGTCTACAGAGCAAGCTATCTGGCAGAGGCATTGAGTGGCGGTTCAATTGTCCGGCAAACCCATCTGAAAGAGGCATATGGGAACGCATGGTACAATGCGTGAAGCGAGTATTGAGACACACTCTAAGCGAAATAGCTCCACGCGAACACACGTTGCAGAGTACTCTTATCGAAGCGGAAAACATCGTGAATTCTCGCCCATTGACGCATTTGCCAATATCACCTAAGCAGGATGAGCCTCTCACTCCTAACCACCTTTTGTTGGGAACGGCCAATACGGCACAAACTCCGGCCATAAATGAAGCAGAAGAGAAGACGTGTGCTTTGAGAAAGCAGTGGCGAATTGCGCGGCAGATACGGGACAAATTTTGGAAGCGTCGGGTAATGGAGTACCTGCCTACCTTAACGCGCAGAGTTAAGTGGTGTCAGAAAAGTAAGCCACTACAAGCGGGGGACCTTGTGCTTATATGCGACGTGAATGTGCCGCGACGTCAGTGGTGTCGTGGCGTGGTTCAGCGTGTGATTCCTGGCGCTGATGGTGAGGTCAGGCGGGCTGATGTTAAAACTGGCTCTGGTGTACTACGACGAATTGCATCGAATCTGGCCGTTTTGGACGTAATCCCTGGTGAATCAGGATGATTCACGGGGGTGGGGATGTAACAAATTAGAATAGAATAGAATTCTTTCCAAGTCTCTAAGGATTTACTTCCAAAATGTTTCCGGACTTAGAACAAAGTCCAACACTATATTTAATTTGTGTGCTCACTTGGACTATGACATCTATGTTCTTATTGAGACTTGGCTAAATGCCGAGTTTATCGAAAATGAATATTTTGATTCCAATCTCTTTAATGTTTACCGGAAAGACCGAGATTCCCAGAAAACAGGACTGTCAAGGGGAGGCGGCGTTTTAATAGCCATTCAGCGTCGGTACCGATCAGCGTTGGTGCATTTAAATAACGAGGATTCACTTCTGGATCAGCTTTGCGTCTTGGTACATGGTAGCTCCAATCTTTACGTATGTGCCCATACACTTTAAAGTCACTATTTGTTTCGCTCGTTCGGTCTAAGCTGGAGTATGCCGTCTTTATATGGAGGCCATATCACCAGTGCCACATCAGTAGACTCGAACGCAATCAGAAGAATTTTCTTCGTTTTGCACTCAGATCGTTAAACTTCGCTGACCCGATTCCTTCTTACAACGCAAGGAGTGCATTATTAAACTTAAAATCTTTGCAGGGTAGAAGAAGTATACTTTCATTCTGTTTTGTTTACGATATCATAAACGGGATAGTTTACTCTCCATTACTCTTAGAGCGCATTAGTTTTCATATCCCACAAAAAAATCTTCGGAGTAATGACTTATTCTTCCTAGAGAGGGTTAGAACTGTTTATGCCCCGATGGCACCTTTGCTTAGAACATTGAAAGAGTTTAACCAGATTTCAAGTTCCTTGGCTTTTGATTTTTCGCTATCTAAATATGATTTCAAATTATCGCTCGATCAATTTTTTAAATAGCTACTTATTGTCTATGTACATATAATTGTTCAAATATAGTTAGTTCTAAGTAGCCTGTAAGAAATTTTGTATTTCTAGATTACTATTTGAATGAAAGAATAAATAAATAAATCACCCATCCCTATTATTCGTACAATTGGCAGCTCTGTACACTCAACGTAGTTTGCCCACTTCCTCTTTGACATTTCTTTGAGTGGCAGCACCACATTGTAATTTAATTCTCGTGAAATCATTTTTGTCGTGGATGTCAAGTTGAAGAGGCGCAAACTGCGGTGAGTTTATTTAACTTATATGTAATGATATTTGTTATTTTAATGTAACGGTTCCTTTGTTATAGAATTAATCGCACTCCCATCTTTTGGGTATATGAGAAAAGGCGTTATATTTCTTTGCCTTCCCACGACTTTTACATTGATATTCTCTATTTTTTTAACTTATTGCTTTTTCACACCACCACTGAGGTTGCAATAAAGGCGCGTTACCGATTTTTTTTGGGTGTTCGGTTCCCCAGGAGACCTTTTTTCGCCCATACTATCTACAGATACGAAGTGCATGAAAGTCTAAGAAATACGAAAAAACTACACAAATCTACTTGGAAAAAACGACTATGACTAATAAAACTACTGCATACAAGAAAACTACTTTGTACAAATTTATATAAAATATTTACAAAATTACCCAGAGTAAATCCGTTTCTATGAACTGTAATAGAGTATAGCAAAAAAATTAAAAAAAAAATTTTGCGACTGTAAATCTAGAGAATATCAACATATAGAAGCAAGCTCTTGGGGTCAACAACAAGAGAGAATCACATTTCAAGACAAATTAAACTTTCTGCTATCTCATAATTATTTCATTCTCGTCATCCATCTTCCATTTCTTACCTTCCATTGCCGTTCGCATCGTCGAACGTGCCTGTCAAACACTGCCGCCATCATGCATTTGTTTTGTTAGGTAGGCACGTCCGATGTTAAGCTGAGATCACACGATTGCCGCAAATGCACCAATCTGGAACAATTTTTATTGTGCTGTATTGGCGCACAATAAAAAAATTGTCCCAATCAAATTCTGTACAGTCACTCGGTTGCCTCTTTTTATACAATTTCGATTTCCGCAAGTTGGTGAAAATCAATATAGCGACAATAATTGCCCCAAATTTATCACACGATTGTTCTAGCATGCGGCAATCGTGACAATAAGATGTTGCGCTGACTTTTAAATTCTGTTTTGTTCTTTGTTGTGTAAAACTGGCGTATTCTTAAAAAAAAAGAAAATTTCATCTAATTTATATATTGTGGGCCTTTTTATGCATATTTGTTGTTTGAAAGCAAAGAAGCAACAACTTGAGCCCAATGAAAACTGACGCATTTATTTAGAAGCTTGAGTGTACAGTTTTTTTTATTTTTCGACGATAACTGCAACGTGCTAAATATGTGGAGTTCAAGTTACAAGAGTTTTCTTTTTAATTTGGGGTTTCTTTTTAATTTTGGTTTTTTATTAATTACAAGTAAAATCAAATAAATAAAAATTTCAAATCTATACAACAATTATAAACATTTCTTAAACCTTTGATCACAATTCAATGGTTTTTAATTTGGATTTCTAGAAAAAAATTTGTTATGCAAAAAAATTATAAAAAATCGACAGGATTTTTTAGCAACTTCAAACTTGCACCTTATTGTACTAAATTTTAATGAGCTATAAAACTGAATAACAATTTTTTTTCTAGAAATCGAAATTAAAAACCGTGCAATTGTGTTCAAAAATTTAAGAAATTTTTATAATTTTTGTATAAAGCTTGTAATTTATGCGGTTTTTGTTAGACAATGAGCTATACCTTTATAGAAAAATAATGAACATTAAACAAATAGAAGAAAAATAGTCAAAACTGGTCAAAATGTTGAGGTTCTACCGTTTCGTCTGGGCTGTATGGAACTTTTAAGTTTTTTCTTTTTAATAAATTTATACTGTCATGGCAGTTTGGTGACATAAAATATCTTTCGTATTCTTCTCCTATGAGTTTTGCTTGTGGTGGTATATATCGCAGCAAAGATTCCGTCATCGGACTTCAAGAAAAATTATAATTTCAATACAAATTAAATTAAAAGTTATGTTGCTTCCGAAAACAAGGATATTCATTTCAGTGATTTTTGGACACAGAAGGAAGCAAAAAAGTAAATTATAAATAAACAGCCTAAATATTGTTGTGTATTGTTCACTTCAATTGCCGCACAAGAACACAATAAATATTGCCGCAATTTTGAAATTTTCATTTCCCCATGATTGCCAATCGAGCTATCACACGATTGCCGCAAGTGGGTTGTATTTGATTGGGCATTGTAAGCACAATATCGGCCTGTATTGCCGCACGAGTCAATTTATTGTGAAATCACACGATTGGGGCATAAAATGAGGCAATAATTGGTGTATTGCGGCAATCGTGGGATCTCAGCTTTAGAAAGAGAATAGACAATAGGATTCCATACTTGTAAGTATATAAGATGCTACTACTTGCTTTGATATGGAAGCGAAATATATTGGATTTTACATGAATTCAAAGGCCCTCATTGAAGCATTTATTTCGTAACTTCGCATTCACAAAAGGCTCTAACTGACAGAAATTCTACATAATTGATTAAAAAAAATGAATTTTATTTTAAAGTATGTTAGGTATTGATATTTAGCATACATAAATTCCATCAATAATTTTCAATTAACATTTTAATATTTCAATTATATAACGTTTTTGTCTCTCCTGAAAAAAATAAATTATGTTAGTTTCCACATTTCATCAAAGATGTACTCCCATAGTAAAATCTAATGCATATTGTTGTATATATTGTAATCGATAACTCTAAGCTGAAATGTATATCGGTTGACAAAAGCTTATCGCTAATAAAATTCTCACTCTCTCATCTCCTTTTGCCAAATAGTAAGACGTGCATTTTGTTTCCTCATTATAAAATAAATTAATAACAGGTTATGGGCCTCACGTTTTTGCCAAAAAAAAAGTCGTAACTAGTAAATAGATAACGTTTGCTAATCGAATTCTTCGTTTTTAATACATAATTCGTGTTAATCAAATACACATAACTGTTGCGGTTTCTCGTTTGATTTAGAGGTTATATTCACGTGGATTAACTACAATGGGAATTGACAAGATCGAAAAATTGAAGGGTCGAGAGAATTACGACACGTAGAAATTCGCAGTTAAGTCCTACTTGCGGCTAAAGGCAAACTGGCCATGCATCGAGGGAGCTGAGCAAGATACGACCAAAAACTTGCATGCGATTTCGGCATTAGGGTTACTAATAGAGCCGGCAAATTATTCGTATGTGCAGAATTGTGCAAACGCAAAAGCTGCGTGGGAAGCGCTGGAGACTGCGTTTGAGGATAATGGGGTCCTACGTCGCATGGATCTCTTAAAATTCGTGATGAGACTAGAATTGGCTGATTGTTCCTCTATGGAAGAATACGTCAATAAAATGCCTTGCACGCAACAAAAGTTGGACAAATCAGGTACGAAGATTCCGGGTGACATCGAATACCGTCCAATGGTAATGGCGCTTGCAAACAGTGGTAAAGCGCTGACGACTGACCTAGTACGCACAAACTTGCTACAAGAAGTAAGATATGAATCTACGAATAATGACGTAGTGGCTCTTATTTCAAAAAAGCAGAAAAACAACCGTGCACGGAAAATTAACAAACAAGCGGTTGTGTGTTTCGAATGTAATGCGAAGGGGCATTATGCGAACAAATGTCCAACGAAGTCAAAGAAATCTCAAAACAACTTGTTACTGATGTCGACATCACTCGTTGCGAAAACTGAAAATGCAAATGAGTGGTTTATTGACTCTGGGGCTTCTGCTCACGTGACGATGTCTTCAAATAATTTATGTGAGCTACGAGAGCCAAAATCCAAGGAGAATATTGTTGGCGATAGTGAACGCCTTAAAGTGAAATGTGCTGGAGATGTTCGCATGACGATATCGTCGGACGAAAATGCGAATAATGAGCAATTCACTGTAAAAGACGTTTAGTGTATACCAAATATTTGTGCTAACCTAATGTCGGCAAGTCAAATGGCAAAAAATGGCAAAACACTACTATTCAACGACAAAAACTGCGATATTTTTAACGAAAACTTCAAATTAATAGCCACGGCACCACTTGTTAACGATTTGTATCGGCTGAGTTGTATCACGCAACGCAATGCTACGGCGTTAACTGCAATAGTAAATCGAAGCTTGTGGCACCGGCGCATGGGACATGCGTGTGACCGCAATTTAGCTCGTAATCAATCAGCGGTCGAAGGGAAGCAAACGCGCGCTTTGTTTAAGCAAAGTGGTAATCGTGCAACAAAAGTTTTGCAAATAATCCACACTGGCGTTTGCGGGCCCATGTCAACGTCGTCGTTCAGTGGATGTCGTTATCTACTAACATTTCAAGATGATTTTAGCCGAAAGGTGTTTGCTTACCCGATGAAGTACAAAAGTGAGGTGTTCGATATTTTCATAAAATTTAAGAAGTTGGTCGAAAATCACCAAGCATCAACTATAAAAATATTAAGATCCGACAATGGTAAAGAGTTTTGCACAATTCGTTTAAGACCATCGTAGAGCAGCATGGAATATTGCATCAGTTAACGGCGCCCTACACGCCTGAACAAAATGGCGTCGCCGAACGCATGAATCGCACAATAATCGAAAAAGTGCGCTGTATGCTTATCGATGCTGATTTACCTCAACAATATTGGGCAGAGGCGGCGACCACGGCGGTTTACCTAATCAACAGAACACAATGCAGGGATATAAAGAACGCTACGCCGGAGGAAATCTGGACAAAAATAAAACCGGATTTATCATCGGTACGGATATTCGGATGTACTGCAATGGTACACATCCCGAAAGAAAATTGACGAAAGCTGGACTCGAAGTCATACAGATGTATTTTCCTTGGATACAGCGAGCAGGCAAAAGCATACAAGATGTTCAACCAGAAAACCAAGCAGACGATTGTCAGTCGAGACCCAAAATAGTAAGGCAATTACTGATCATCACACTATTAATAATTATAATTTGCTACCAAAGACACGAAGCTCTTTGCGCAAGGTTGAGCTTATTGACCATGATGACGGCGATTCAAGTGACGATGACGCGATGCATGAATTCAGTGAGGGATCAGCTAATGCAATAAAAGAGCGAAAGACCGAGAACGTCTTTCTGAATCTATACCAAACACAGTGCGAAGAAGAGTCACAGCTGCCGAGAGAGCAACTCACTTCGCGAAACGTAAACGATGTAATTGGGGTAATTAAGAACATAACTGATATGTCAGTCCAATCATTTTACGGATTCAGTGAGGGCGGAGGGGATAGTAGTCTTGGGAGTCCTGCAAATGATTTATCCCACAATGTTGATGTCGTTACAAGCGAGNGATTAAGAACATAACTGATATGTCAGTCCAATCATTTTACGGATTCAGTGAGGGCGGAGGGGATAGTAGTCTTAGGAGTCCTGCAAATGATTTATCCCACAATGTTGATGTCGTTACAAGCGAGATGTCACCTACGAACACTTACGATGATGGAAGCAGTCTCGACGATGCAGCGGGGGAAGCACATCTGGGACTTTTAGCAGCAACAGCTGACTCCAGCGACCCCGCAATGGTTCAGGAAGCATTAAACAGTGATGACAGCAAATAATGGACCGATGCGATGCGACATGAGTACAGCGCCAACCGCAATGCTTTGCAGATGAAACCAAAAGATTCAGCCGTCTACGCTTTACGGTTTGAAGCAATCGAGTAGAATGTGGAACATGAAATTAAATTCCGTATTGACACTACAGCTTGGCTTTACCAGATCAGCGGTTGACCAATGCGTTTATTTTAGCAGTCAGCTCCAAATATCATCATACTGGCTGTTGATGTTGACGATATTTTGATTTTCGGCGGGAACAATAAAATGATAGCAAAACTCAAAAAGGATCTGTCTAAGCACTTTAAAATGAAAGACATGAGAGCTGCAACGTCTGTGCTTGGGATTAACATCACTCGAAAGCATGATGGATCAATCTCCATTGACCAAAAGCGATACTTGTCAGATATCTTACGATTTAATATGCAAGATAGCAACCCGGTAGCTACCCCAATGGATCGAAATCAACGTCTATCAAAGGATTTGTGTCCAAAAACGGAGAAGGAGAAGCAGGTGATGGCGTCGATATCCTATCAAGAAGCGATCAGCTGCATTATGTACACTGCACAAATCAGCCGTCCCGATATCGGTTTTCCGATTCACCACATGCCATGGTAAGGCGCACTGGGAGGCAGTCAAGCGAGTGCTTCGCTATCTAAAGGGCAGGCACAATTGACATGAAGCTGACTTACCGCAAAGACAGCGCTGGTAAATTAACTAACTATTGTGATGCGGACTGGGTTGGCGACCAAGATGAACGTCGTTCAACAACTGGCTATGTTTCCGTCTCCGTCTCTTGTTGCGGCAATACAAGAAGCATTCTGGCTTAAACGTTTTGAGGGAGAACTCTTTAGGGACGTCCCGAGGTCAATATAACTTTTCTGTGATAATCAAGGCGCTATAAAACTAGCCATGAACAACAATTTTCACGCACGAACCAAACACATTGACGTGAAAAATTACTTCATACGCGAATAGCTTGCAGAAGGCTTGATTAAATTAGACTATCCCAATACAAACAAAATAATCGCTGACATCATGACTAAGTCTGTAAATAATTCAAAATTGACTCAGTTTATTAACCAATATGGTTTATCATAAGATTTAAATTAAAACTATTTTCTTTCAGTGTCAGTACAACATTAATTACAGAATTTTTAGTATAGCTTTGAGTGACGGTGTTGTACATATTGTAATCGATAACTCTAAGCTGAAATGTATATCGGTTGACAACAGCTTATCGCTAATAAAATTCTTACTCTCTCATCTTCTTTTGCCAAATAGTAAGACGTGCATTTTATACCCTCATTATAAAATAAATTAATAACACATATTTTGTTTAAGTGAGCTCCTGGTAATCGGCACAGTAACGAAATTTTTAGACAACATAAAATAAGAAGTAGAGGTCATTTCAACACTGGGGTCGATTAAAAAATCTTTAATATATGGAAAACGAATTCTTGCCTCACCTTCGATAATGAATGTGGTAAGAGAGTGGGTGTTCGGTTCCCCAGGACGCCTATTTTCACCCATACTATTTACAGATACGAAGTGCATGAATATAAAAAAATCTAGGAAATACGAAAAAACTACACAAATCTACTTGGAAAACACGACTATGACTAATAAACCTACTTTATACAAATTTATATACAATATTTACAAAGTCACTCACAGTAAACTCTTCTATGAACTGTAGTTGGGTATAACAAGAAAATAAAAAAAATATTGCTTTTCTTAATTGCTATTTTATTGCTTTTTCATAAAATTTCATACCTTTTACTCGATTTATTCAAACAAAATTCAAATAAAAGGTATGGAATTTTAAGAAAAATAAATTTATTCATACGGCCATTATCAATTTAGTTAAAAGATATCGAATATTTCAAAAACGGCCATACTTCTATAGGGGTAATTTTTTATCTTGAACACCAACCTACATTCTCCTTGGGTTTGTCGTGGTACATATTGGATACCATGCACGTGTATATATTTTTAAGTACCTACGAACACATATCGCTCATTTACTTAACGGCAGTTCCAACTGCAATCCAAGTCCATTTCCACCGCATCCTGAACCACCCCATGTATGTAAGTTGGCTACTGCATTCCAATTAAATTACAATTATAAACAAATTTCCAATAATGCAGTTGGTCATATTGTTGGTTTGACTCATATGATGAAGTCTAATTAAACAATGGAAAAGTACTGATTTAATTGAAGATCCTTTTCCTGCAACCAACTGCGTAAACAATGGCTTAATGAAAGTTGCAACTGCAAAACAACTGCAGCTGAATAAATAGTATGACTAAGAAATAAAGTTGCAACTGCAAAACAACTGCAGCTGAATAAATACTGAAACTTAATATGTTCAATAATAAAATTTTATTAAAAAATAAAGTTGCAATAGCAAAACAACTGCAGCTGAATAAATACTGAAACTTAATATGTTTAGTAATAAAATTCCAAAAGAACAATTTGAAGTTCCAACTAAGAAATCTTGTAAATATAATTTTAAGCTATAAATAACGTTCTTTTCAAATAAAGATCAGTTTGGTATCAGTCTTACATCAAGACGTACGTTTATTTTTAAAACGTTCACCGGGCTCACCCAAAGCTAATTGGCGCCCAACGTGGCCGCCCGCGATAAGTGTCGGTCGAATAACAAGTATCCTCGCCGGAGGAGAAAATGTAAAAACAAACTAAAAAACAAGTATCCTCGCCGGAGGAGAAAAGATAAAAACAAACTTAAAATAAGTATCCTCACTGGAGGAGAAAAAAATTAAATATTTAAATAAGTACCCTCACCGGAGGAGAAAAAATAATAATAAAAAAAAACTTTTAAACAAGTGTCCTCACCGTAGGAGAAAAACAATTTAAACTTTAAATAAATATCCAAAAAGACAGTTATGATAAAAGATTAACAACCAAGTGGCAGTGGCGATTAATAAATAACTCAACATCAGTGGCAAGAACAACAAAACAGTGGTAGCAGAGTCAGTTTGGAATATAACTACATTTGGAGAAGTAAAGGAAGTCGATAACAACTGTAACAGCAACAAGGAGCTGAAGCAGCAAAAATTAATGTGAGAATTATTTAATTTTATACTATTTTATTTTAAAAATTTGAACAATGACAGACGCTCTACCATCTGACTTAGACTATGACGAAACAGACAGAATTGTGGAAAAATTGGAAATAGAAGAGAATTCTGATGAACTCAAGGAAAAGGTTTTTAGAGAAAGGGATCTTTTTGATGAATGTAGTGACGAGGGAAGAATGAAGTGTATGGAAGCTGTATTTAAGTATATAGGAAAGAATAAGAAAGCCACACTAGCTG